ATTGTGGCGAAGCCATGGAAACCAGGACTGAGAAAGTCTCGTGGATCCTGGCCACCAAGAGGTCAGAGATGCACTCAGAGAAGTGAGTTTCAGTAGAGAGGTACGGCTAGAAGCCAGTTTACTGAATGAAGGAGTACCCATGGTAGAGACGGCTCTAGGTTTTAAAGCTAAGAAAAGGAAATAGAAGGGAAAAGGGAAGAAGGAAGGAATGAATGGATTTTGATGCGGGGCAGTGGTGGCAGGAGAGCCAGGTCTCCATTAGGAAGCGGAGGAAGGACCATCAGGCGAAGTCATTTAGCCAGGAAGAGTGCATTCCTTTTCCCGAGTCTATAGGGAAAGGAGCCTGGGTTGGGCTCATAAAGCCAAGTTCCTTGGGAGGCTGGTTGTCTCCCCAGTAGCACCGTGGATTTCCTAAGACAGACATCTCAGGGGGCAACATAGCAGCATGGAAAAGGGTTTATTCTAGAGTCAGAACAGACTACCTGGGTTCCACTGCAAGGTTATTACCTGTGGTGACCTGGGGCAAGTTAGTCGGCTCTTCAGTACCTCAGTTTCCCTATCTGGAAATAGGGAAAACCACACCTGTTCTTAAGATTAACTGCCAGGATCCATGTAAAGCACCCACACAGTGTCTTTACACACAGCAAGTGTTCATAAAAGGGCAGCTATTATTAACAGCCCCCTCCCTGGTTCTCCTGGGGACCTCCAGTGGCTCTAGCATCAGCAAGCGCACTGGAGCAGTTCAGCATCTGTTGCTTCACTCCGAGCTTTTCAGGAAGTGTGGTCATAAGAAATGAGAAGTGATTAGAAGTGGCACAGAGTCTGTCACAGGGCTTTGTTGCTCAATAAATGCTACCAGAATGTAATAAGCACTTAAAAGCATGTCCTCTGTAATCAGCACCCCCTAGAAACTTCCCCTAACCTACTGCTCTTGGCCTTGGCTCTGGCCACACCCACTGCCCAAGTGAGCAGTATCAGCTGTCCCCTGTTCTCTTGTCTTTTTGGATTAGGTTCCTTTGCAGGGATCTTCCCATGTTTACAGTGTCTGGGAGACTTGAAGGATGCCCTGCAAACACTTCCAAATGTCTCGTAGCAATGAGAGGCCAGTGCAAAGGGCAGAGGGAGTCCTCCCGTGCCACGGAAGTCAGAGCTGGAGCAGATCCAGCTGGCTATGTCACCCCAAGCTTGCGGGTCATTGCAGAATCATTTGCAGGAATTCCTGTTAAATTGGATTTTATCCAGTGTGTTCAGGGATCACAGAGCTCAAGAGAAAAAAGGAGGGCCTGTTGCTTGGAATGGCTTAGAGCACTTTTGGTAGCCATCCAAGGCAGCTATCACTCATTAAATCTGTCTTTCCCTCCCAGCAAAAAGCCAGCTGTATAGAACACCACATATAGATCCCTAAGAATAGTATAGCGTTCCAAGAACACACTGTACTTGGCCTGTATACAGGTGTGCGGGGCTTGACAAGTCTTTTTACTCTCAAAGCCGGGTGGGCTGAAACAAACGAAAAATATTTTGTCCAAGTAGCACACAGAGAAGAAATGATAAAGAGCATAGGAGAGCACCCTAGCATGTCATTCTTTGACCCGGGCTGCCTTTTCTAGGCATGGGTTGACGCCACAGCCGCCACAGCCACCACAGCCTGCCAGTGAGCCCCAGAGCCAGAAGCGCAGCAGCCCCCCTTGCCCCCGTCATTCACTGACTCCCCAGTAGGCTGAGCAAGCCCCAGAGTCCTGTAACAGGTGGTAATTTGTCATTTGCTGTGACAGGAATTTGAAACCATCATCCTCTGCAATAAATATTCAGTTGATTTACTGGCTTCCCCTCTATAAGTATAGAGAGTGAGGACAGCTTCCTTCCAAAGCTTCAGTTCTGAGCAGTGGGCGCTCTCAGAGTGCAGACAAGACCCTAAACCACACCCCACTTTTGGAAGAAATCCTGTGTGGGTCTATTCATAAAAGAATCTGGGAAGATACTCTTCTTAATGGTGGTTGGCTCTAGTAGGGGGATTTGTGGGAGCTTTTATTTTTTACTGCAAAACTTTCTGTATTTTCTGAAATCTTTCCTCAATGTTACTTTTATGTTCAGGAAAAACCCCCAGAAATCTAATATGAAAATTATTTTCCTGTTCTCAAATGGGCAAACATGACAGGGTTTCCAGCTTCCTGCTTTCTCCTGGGGAGGGGAGTACAACGAGGTGGAGTGGACAGATAGCTGAAGGTGCCCAAAGACAAAGATTATAGGAAGAATCTTTGGTCACTCCTGGATATTCCTATCCTGCTTCCTGCCCTCTGAGAGCAAACATGGCAAGTCGCCACATACAGACTACCTATACATACCTAGCTGACCACAATTCATCTTTTAGTTCTCCTCGTAGATGCCACATCTTCTGGGAAGTCATTCCTGTCCATTCAAGATTGAGTTGGTGCCCCTCCCATGTGCTTCAAACTGCCTTCACTGTGATTGTTTGTTTACCTGTTGGTCACTCCTACTAGACTGAGGTCCCTGAAGGCAGAAGTGTTTTATTCATCTGTGTAGCCTTTGTACCTTAGGAGAGTGCCAACAGGCTGAATAAACATTCGTGTGTGTTACATGCCTTACGTGCTGTTGAATCAGCTCCAACTTCTGGTGACCCTATTAACTAGTGATGGATGTCCACCATGTCCTGTCCTCAACAGTCCTGCTCAGCTCCTGTGGACTCATTTCTATGGCTTCTTTGATGGTGTCAATCCATCTCATATTTGGTTTTCCTCTTTTCCTGCTGCCTTCTATCTTTCCCACCATTATTATCTTTTCCAAAGAGCCCTGCCTTCTCATGATATGCCTGAAGTAGGACAGTTTCGGTTCTGTCATTTTTGCCTCCAGCGATGTTTCATTTACTGAATGATTATTATTTGGGGAACTTTAATAATCAGAGCAATTTAAGGGATACAAAAATGGAAAAGAAACCATTTGTTTTCAAGGAATTTACAGCTGAGTTGGGGGAGACAGATGTGTCCAACAATTAACTACAAAACCAAGTACTAGTTGAAACAACCAACTGTAACAATAAGGAAGGTTTTGGACCCTGAACATTTCTCATTCATTGCGTTTTCTAGCTCAGAATTCCATATCGGAATGTTAATGAGGTATGTACATGTGGTTATAAGGACTTAGGACTTTAGGACCTTTATTACAATTTGACTCATGATTTTCTGCTGTCAGTTGTCCTAGGAATACTTGCTATTTAACCTTAACTGATGTTTGTGAAATGCCTTGTCTTCCTCTGCTGAAAGGCTTTAAGTGTTGAGCATTATTACTGTGTGACAGTGGTTGTTTTATTATTAAAGCAGTGCCAATGTGGTTACACAACAGCTTGGATCAAGAAGTGAAACAAGGGTGTTGATCCCACTGAAGCTACAAGGGATGGGGATTTGGGATGGTAAAATGTTAATTACTCGAGACAGAGGAATGCAGGCTAGAGTCCAGCACTGCACTCCTGGAGATCATTTCAGTCCCAGAGGCTGAGGCTGGCTCTCTGGCAGTGGGTCCTAAGCATCCTGCCCTCCTCTGGCTGGAATGTTGGATTCACTTGGTTGTGAGCTGCCACAGAGAAAGAATCCAATGGCCAAGAGCCAGGAGCATATGTCTTGCACAGAGCATAAGGGGTGACTCTGGAAGCTTTCCAGGAGCTGAAGGACTGTTCCCTTTGCATGCAATCAATTATTTATCTGTAAAGAAATGTATTCTTTATTCTTTCTCCTTGCTTCCAGATCTTGAGGACTCTCTCTAAAGATGGGGTGGGGATTGAGGAGGTGGGTTTGGCACACAAGGATGGAAGAAATGTCCATTTATAAAGCTGAGAAAATGAACACACAGATAGATGGGCTTCTGGTCAGGAAGTACCATGATTGTTTATTTTAGGGCGGGGAGGAATGGGCCGTGAGGGAAGGATCTAGTGGAGGCAATGACAATCTTTTCATAGCTTTAGTTCTCAACAATGTCACTTATAGAAACTGATTAAAGACTTGGGCTTTGAATGAATTTTTTTTTAAGACGTTGGGTTGGCTGACATGTATGATTGTGGACTAAGAGAAGCACTAAAGTACAATGAAAAGAGAGAAGGCTCTGGATTCAGACAGATTCAGGGCCACCGACTACTTTCTGGGTGACCTTGGGCAAGTTTCCCAACCTCTCTGGCACCTTAGTTTCCTATCTGTAAAATAGAGAATGTTAAACTGACAGGTTTAGCCATATAATCCCTGTAAAGGACTCCGCAGAGTATTTGGCACACAGTGGGCACGGAATAGTTGTCAACTACAGGCCACACGACCAGAATCATCCACATCACCTAGCCAACAATTAACTGTAGCGTAGCGAATCCAGTTCTTACTGACGAGCCTATTTGCCCAATAAGATGCCAGGAAAAAAAACTCAGTGGAGTCAAACCAATGGCATTGGCCCTTGTTGTTGGACGGGCTTTCTTGCTGTTCCACCAATAGTTTGAAGATTTCACTAGGGAGTGACATCCAGACCGCCCAATGACGCATAACCAGCCCACACTCAGCACTTCGGAGGCGATAAATCAAGGAGCCGGCACGTATACATTCCGTTATTAGGAAGTACTGGATGGATAGAGGACCTTAGGGGATGCTACGCGAAGGCTAGTCACAAATGAGCTAAAAATAAGAAAAAAGACGATGGTTGCGCCATGTGAGCTCGGCCGCCATAATGCTCTAGTTTCCCCTTCGCCTCTCTGGGTCCGCGACCAAGGAAGCGGCCTCTGGGATACTAAGGGGGTGTGTCCCCGAATGATTGGCGCAGGCAACTCAGCCAATCCTAGCTCGTCAAACGGGAAGTGCTTGACCAATGAGGGACGACGGTCGCGGCGAGGAATGGAGGGGCGGAGCATAAGGTTGACGAGCACAAAAGTTAGCCAGTGACAGCCGGAGGTATCCTCCCTAAAGCCAATAGAGTGAGGCTGTGGGCGGGTCGCCGAGTGTTTGTGTTGTGGTTTTGGGGGAGGGAGGCGGAGGGGAAAGTTTGTTTATTTTGTTTTTAGTTTCTGGGGTCCCCGTGTTTCTGGGAGGTGAAGCGGGCGGGACTGACCCCCACTCCCCTAAGTCCCCCTACTACGTCGCCTCCACAATCTGCGGAGAAGCGCGGACCGCGCGCATCGTAGCGCATCGCCTCACAGCGGAACGCCGCGCACTCAGAACCGGCACGGCTCGGCGGTGAGTGAGGACCGACGGCCACTGCTGCTCTTCCCCTCCCCCGCACACTGCAAGTCAGAACTGGGTGGCCGGGTGGGCGAGGACGCTCGCGGGAGCGCGCGGCGCGGGCCGGCCTGTCAAGCTGAGGCGCAGACTGTGCCAGTCCTCGCGAGTGAGCGAGCGCGGCGGGGACAGGGCCGGGAGGGGCGTGAGCGCGCGCGGGACCTGGCTGGGGCTGGGGCGTTGAGCGCGTGCTCCGTGGGGGCGGGCGTCTGGTGGGTTTGACCTCGGGGCGGGGAGGGACGCGGGCGACGCGTTGCCCGCGGAGAAGGGGCGCCCCGAATGGCAGGGCCGGGACGGGCGGGCGCGCGCGGCTGTGGGCGTCACGCGCCGGCAGGTGTGAGCTAGGGAGGGCTTCCGGGTGGGCTGGTCGAGTCGGGTTCGCTTCCCGTCGCTGGGGGGGGCCTCTGGGCAGGGAGGGGTCCCGTCGCCTCAGAGAGTCGAGGCCCTCGGAGGCCCGTGCCCGAGGGAGGTGTCAGGCCTCGGAGCCTCCCGGTCCCTGCCTGTGTGCTGGACCTGCATGACGGAGTGAATGTGTTCTCTGCTTAACCGGGCCGGGAGTCCCACCCCTTCACCCCTCATCCCAGAGCCTTGCATGTGTGGCTATCTTCACGAGGCGATTCAGACTTTCCACGAGGAAACAAGGGGAATAACATTGGGCCATTGGACGAAACAACCCGAGGAGTGTTTTCTGCCTTTCTCTGGTCCAGCGCTCTTTAGTTTTAAACTAGTGGGGTCATTAGCCAGCCCGCAGTGGGCTAAGGACACACTCCAGTGGCCGTAGACACCCAGTAATGGGAGCCGTTTGTGAGGCGCGTTAAGGACCAGCCCATCCTCAGTTCTTTGGTCACAGGGTACCAGTCTGGGTCTTTTAAGAATCCTTGCTTTCTCATGCATGTTTTGGCCGTTTTATTCATTTTAGCATCTGTGCTAGAGATTGAGCGAGGGATAAGCGAATTTCAAGCTTGTATTTGTATTACAATACAAGCAAAATTGTACAACAAAATTTGCCAGAGATGTTTCTCCATAGACAGTGAATAAAACATCATTAGTTGCGCCCCACCCCCCCAGCAGTTAAGCATACAGAAATAGGGTGTACATCTTATTTCTCTATGTGTAATGATAGAGATTATTTCCTTCATCGTTGTAGGGAATTTCAGTAGGATGGTGGTTTCCTGTTGATTTGGAGAAGGATCCATGATCTTGGCTTTGAACCTGTATTTATTTTTTTGGTAGAGTTATGTAAATGCTTCTTAAAAAGCAGAACTTTCAGCACATTGTCTTGCACTTACACAGTGTGTTGTATTGCTGTAGGTAGGTAGTGGGAGGGCTATGAATGTAGTAAGTTCCTTCACTAAGGCAAGTATTGAGAACACAGATCAGACTGGCTTGTCCCATTTGGGACGCCTTTACATTTTCTTAGTTCTTGACCGTTTTTAAGTGCTTGTCCCACACATTTTTTGAGTAGAATAGTTTGTGGTAGGATTTAAGGAGAAGAAATTCCCAAGCTGCTTTGTTAAGACAGCAGATAAATGTCATGCACTTGAAACAAAATAATTTTTTTCCTCCTTCAAAAGGAAGCACTTAAAAATGTTTAAAATCAGAAAAATAAGATTTGTTCAAATGGTAGTAACACATTTATTGCATGATTCCCATATTTTTTCTGATCCTCACCTCAACCAAGCCTGTGGGGTAGGTATCATTACTGTTTTATGGATGAGAAAAAGAGCCTCCAAGAGCCACACAGCTGGGAAGCTCAGGGGTATAGACTGAGTCTTAAGTCTGTCTGGTTTCAAAGCCGGCACTTGCTCCATTTGTCCCTTAAATTATCTGGGGGTTGGGGAGGGAATATGGGAAGGGCGCTGAAAAGTAGAGAGGAATAGTAAAGGGAAATGTTGCCACTGATGATTAGGTTGCCCATACCTCATTTAAAAACTTAAACTCATTCTTAGCTTGTAAAAAAATTAAGAACATTTGTACCGAAGTACATTTATGCTTTGTTTTTATTTCTTTCCTGTTTAATTTTTATAAAGATAAATAGGATGCATTTAAGTTAGAGGTCAAGGCTTTCAGAGCCCTTTGTGCAGATCTCTGTCCTCTGCCTTGCTGTTGTGATTAATCCTGTGTGTTCTTCCAGGGACCAGGAACTTTTGTATCTAGCACAGTGCTTCGCACATAGTAGGGACACAGTAAATGTTAGTTTACTAAGGAGCAGAATTAAAAATGTAATGACTTTGGGTTCGTTTTAGCAGTTTTAGTTTAATGGGACAATAAAAAAGTACATAGTTCATGTGCAGAATGCATATTCTAGAAGAATACCTAAATGGAACAACTCATGGTCTTGGAAGTTTGGCTCTTCCAGTTTGTGAAATCTTCCAGCTCTGCTTATTTGTTCGAGCTGCTCTAACATTCTGTTCTTCCTTTCACCTTGAGTTCTAAGAGGAGGCTACAATGACTGCTTCCTTGTACTACTCAGTCATTCTTGAAACTTTGCAGCCTGGCTCACAACCTCACTACTTACTGAGGCTTTTCCCAAGGTTGCCAATTAGCTAATAGTTAAATTTCCTAGAGCATCTTTTTTGTTTCCCTTCAGCAGGCAGCCCTTTTGATTACCCTTTTAAATTTTTTTAAATTTTAAAGTAGCATATAGTAGCATTGACTTTTAGTGTGTATATAGTTCTATGAATGTTAACACAGGTACAAACTCACATAATTACCACCACAGTTAGGGCACCAAACAGTTACATGACCCTCCCATCCCTCACCCCCCACAAAAATCCTCTCATGCTATATCCCTGTTGAAACACTTTTCTCCTGATTTGTGTCCCAGAGAGAACACCGAGGATGAGGCTAGGGCTCCTTTTCTTGTCCTTGTTTTATTTTTCCCTTTTTCTATTCCTTGAAAATGCTATTTACTTTGGGTACTTAAAATGTGTCACCTCTTTATCTACTAACCTGCATATTCATGCCTGATCTCTCTTCCATAATCCAAACAACATCCATGCTTACCTGCTGAAATTCCTCACTACTTCATACTCACTGTATATCAGGTTATGCCTAACTTTGCCTCCCAAAGCATCTCTTCCATCTGATTTTTCTGTAATTTTCAGGGATGTTATCCTTCTCCCAAACTTGCAACCCTGGAATACTCGGAGGGCCTTATAATAAACCCTGTTATTCCAGCCCTGATGTCCTGCTACTCAGCTACAAATAGTGGCTTCTGCCCCCTTTGCTGCTAAGCTGGCTCAGGTTCATTAGGCTGAGTGGAGCATAAGTAGTTGGAGCACCTAGAACCCCATCAGGATCTGACCACTTCCCTGGTCAACACCCCTCATGGCTTCCCAATGCACTCAGGTCATTTGGGATTTTATATTTCATCTTACGAGGTTCTGCAAGATCTGGCCTCTGCCTGTCTATCCAGCCTTCTCATCTCTGTTACGACCCATCCCCCTTTCTCACTGTGTAATCAGTCTTTCACTTCCTAGAGTTACCCAAACCTTTTCCAGCCCCAAGGTTCTTGTACCTACCACTCTCCTGGCTTGGGCTGTTCTTCCTTTGCTTACCCCTGCTCTTCCCCCACCTGACTTCAGGGTTCAGATTAAATTGTCACTTGCTCAGGCTTTCCTTTATGACTTTATCCCTCCACCCACCATCATTTAGATCTCTGAGCTCCTGTTCTTTTCTCATAGCTCTCACCACAGTTTGTGATTCAGGGCTATGTCTGTTTTGTTTCCCATGTCTCCAGAGCCTAGGCAAGACTCACGCATACAACAGACTCCCAGTAAATATTTGCTGGCTGTGCTGTGAGCCTGGGCTTTTGATGTTGGAGGTCTTGCCGAATAGAGAGAGAACTGAAATTGCTCAAGAGGATCCTGATCTTGTTCTCCCTCTGAATTGTGCCTCTGCCTGGGAGCCAGGCAAGATCTAACCTAAACTGTTGGCTGAGTTTGCCGAGGCTGCTGAGCAGCACACCTTGGTTATCCAGACTGGAGTCAGCGTTTGCAGTTGTTCGTCTTTGCTCACCTCACCCTGCTCTTGGTTTCTTCCTCCTCTCTCTACCCAGTATGAACTTCTAAAGACAGTATACACTTTCCAGCTGAGCCTGCTTACCCTTTGACATTTACCACTTTTTGACATTGACAACTGCCTTTAGTGTTGTAGGTAGGCTAATGACTACCATGATGGACAGCACACTTCTAAACCATATCCTCAATATAGTTGAAGGGCTATACCTGGATATTTTTAGCCACTGGCCTTTTGGTAACTCTGTTCTCCTTGCTTAGAACCAGCTTCATTTCCAAATATGCTGACCTTAGTTGCTGAGAAACCCAGGGGATTCTAAGACCACCCCCAAACTTCAGTTTTCAACATCTCCTCTGAACGCTTTTAATATTAATTTTTGTGTCATTTTTTATATAGCAATTACTTGTAATATTTATTAGTTTGTTTTATAATCAGAGGTCATATTAAAATATTTAACAACTGATAAGGCATGGGCACTGACCAATAGGAATAGGTGGCTGATGAAATAGGACTGGTGGCATCTGTACACAGCCTCCATGTTCCTCTGTGTGTACCTGCTGAGGTACAGCTCTGATTATCTTGGGGTGTGTATTATCAGCTTCCCCCCGAAGAGACTGTGAGTTCCTTGAAGGTAGACTTTTGTCTTACTCATGTGTGTATCCCTAAGACAGCTCCTGACCTGGCCTTTAGTAGGCAATTTATAAATATTTTAAATATATGGACAAATGCTACCTTGCATTTTGTTTTATTCTTTTTATGTGTTATATTTTATCTTTCCAGTTAGAAACTAAAATATAAGTCCTTTGAGGACAGAGGTCATGAATTATGAAGAAGAATGTGGCATATTTTCTTGATTGTCTTCACAGGAGCATTTTTTCTGAATGAAGATTTGCTTTTTAAAACTAACTGTGTTTGGATATTGTTATGGATTTTCAGGC